ATCTGATTGGTGCCTCACTGCGCCGTTCTCGAATGCACGATTAGTCTATAAATTTTTTTGACATATCGATACTTATCGAAGAATGCACGCTGACTGTGTCTAGACCTTGTGTTCTCTCTCCGCTTTGTCGTTTGGGGTTAAGCAAGAGTCTCTCGTGTCATTCGTACGCTTAGACCAAACACAACAACTGGCGACGGGAAAATTTACGGATCCACAATGTCGATCACGCCGGAGCAGTTACAAGCAATTCTCAAACAGCAACAGGCACAATTCGAGGCCGCGAACCTAAGGATGATGGAGACCATGTTACAACGTCTCAGCACACATCCCAATCCAGCAAAACCGGTTAAACAGTCTACATCTATGGACGCTGTTGCCGCAAGCATCACTGAATTCCTGTACGACCCCGATGCAGGAATTACATTTGATTCCTGGTTCAAACGTTGGGAAGATGTATTCCGTTTTGAATTCGCAGATGCTGATGATGGATGGAAGGTGCGACTACTGCTCCGAAAGCTGGGAACCAAAGAACATGATCGTTACACCGACATGATTCTGTCCAAAAGTCCACGTGATTTCACTTTCGAAGAAACGGTCCAACAACTTTCAAACACGTTTGGTGAAAAGGCGTCTTTGTTCAGTATCCGGTACCACTGCCTCAAATAGGCGAAAAATGATACAGATGACTACCTGACACTAGCCAGCATTGTGAACCGGGAGTGTGAGAAATTCAAGTTGCGTTCCATGACTGATGACCAATTCAAATGCCTGATATTTGTGTGCGCACTTCAGTCTCCCCGCGACGCAGAAATCCGCACTCGTTTACTAAATCGCATCGAACAAGATCCTAACATCAATTTACGGACATTAACAGACTAAGGCCAGCGCCTCGGGAACCTCAAACATGACTCAGCCATCGTTGAGCAACGCAGCCCGGCTACAGCTTCATCCGATGTCCATGCTGTCTTAAAGCCGCGGTTAATGTTTACCCGAAGGCCACAAGCAGCCGCTACCCGAAGACACCCCACTGCATGTTGGAAATGCGAAGAATTGCATTACGCACGCTACTGTCCCTTCAAGAAACACGTACGTCAAAAATGCAGCAAACGAGGACACAAAGAAGACTACTGTCACACTACACTCCCTTCTACATCAAAGGGATGTCACAAACCAAGTCGATCGAAATCATCATCGACGAATTTTGAACCCAAAAGTCAAGCGATCGTGTCTTCTATCGAACCTGAAATGAAAAAGGGCGTAAGTACCTCACTGTCCGCATCAATGGGGAGCTAGTACGCCTGCAAATTGACACCGCTTCTGACATAACCTTGATCTCAAAACGAACTTGGCACGCGCTCGGGCGACCCCCATTCAATCGGACCAGCAGGAAGGCATTGAACGTATCTGGCGGAAAACTACATCTCTTTGGTGAGCTTGTGTGTAACGTTTCGTTCAAAGGTATGCAGATTAAAGGAACCTGTTACCTCACCAACAGACCTTGTTTGAATTTGATGGGTCTCGACTGGATTGAGAAGTTCCGTCTTCTGGATGTACCTCTGAACAGCGTCTGTCAACGTGTATCTATACACACCGAAAGTGCGTCATCTCCCAAACACTTGTCT